TCTTTAAAGAAGTGTCGATTTAGCTCTTCTGTTCACTTTCTGATTGGATCATTTGTGTTGTATGAGATCTTTGATATCAGCCCCTTATCAGGTATATTGGGAATACTACTCAGCAATCAAAAAGATAAGCTCATGTGCAGCTACATGAATGAAGCTGGAATGGTTTATGCTAAGTGAAATAACTCAGACCAAGAGTGGATGGTGTCACTTATATGTGGGATACAGGAAAAAGACAAAGAATCAGATGAAGTGAAACTTAAGAGCTTACCCTTGAAAACTGACTGTAGAACCAAAGCATCCAGAGTAGGAGTGGAAGAGACAGGGGCAAGAACAAAGTAGGGAGAGAGAACAATGGTATATGGTGCTTTGGTGGTGGGTGCACATGGTAACAACACCTGAAGGGGGTGATACTTTACTTCCAAATTATAAGCAATGATGTAAACCAACGTTACCTTAAAAAAATTTAAAATTAAAATTATATACATGTAACTTGTATACCTTGAATGCGAATGTTTTTAGCAGATTTATTTGTAATAAATTCCAAGCTGGAAACAACCTAAATGTCCCTCAGTTTAAGAATGAATAAACAGGGGCCTCCGCGGTGGCGCAGCGGTTGAGCGCTGGGTTGCGAAGCTGCCCGCAGCCTCTGCAGCGCTGGTTTGATCCCCGGCTGCTCCCCGGCCACCGGAGGAGGGTCCCACATGGCGCGCAGACCTCTCCTGCCGCCCGCTGCTCCCCCCAGCAATGCACTTTGGTCCCTCTGCCTGCTCTGCTCCCTGCTCTGGCTCTGGTGAATTCTCTCACCCTCCCACGCTTCTGACTGTATCCAGTGCTTTTATGTATAAATAAATAAATAAATCTTTAAAAAATAAATAAACATTTTGTGGTACATTTCTATAGTGAAATACTACTAACCAGTAAAAAAGAAATGGACTACTCATTCATGCGACAACATGAAAAATTCTTAATTTTTCTAAGTGAAAAAATCAAACTCAAAGGGCTGCATGTTCTAAGATATCAGTGAGGACAGAAAACATACTAACAGTTGCTGGGTGCTGGGTGGGGAGAATGTTTGACTACAAAATACAAGGGGCATTTTTGGAGATGATAGAGCCTTCCCAATCTTGACTGTGGTAGTGGTGATATGGCTATAGAAATGTATATTAAAATAGGTTACTATATGAAAATTATATCCTAAGACAAAAATGGAAAAAGAAAAGCTTCCCAGTGTGAATGATAACATTATTTGAACATGTGTTCTTGACACAATAATTAAATTAGTTTGTGATCAAATAAAATGACAGTAACTAAAATAAAATCTGTCAGATTTCTGGAAGCATATATATAAGCAATGTAATTACATAAATATATAATTAAGTATATCTTTGTATATGCATACATATGTTTAAAATCTTGGTAATTCTAATTATCTGTCGTAATTTTGGTGAAACTGGGGATAAAAAAGATTTAAGTTTTTAATGACTACAGAGAAGCATAATCATTATACTTAACTAGAGATAAGTTATTAACACAGTTGCTGAGAATAAATTATCACAGATATGTCTTAGTATATTCTTGTCCCTATTATAAATTTACTTTTTAGTTTTGTTCCAAGGGAATAAAAAAGCAGGTAGAATATTTTTAGCCCTAACGTGACATTGGCAGGAATTTCATAAATTTGGGCAACAGATGGTGTATGGTATTTATGAGCCCAGCGGTTGAATGCTTAGTGAGTGACTCATGAAGTGATAGCGGTTTACTAAAGTGGAGGAAATAGCATTATCTAGTTTTAAAACATTGCCATATTGCAGAGAGAATACAAATCACTCAACATTGAGCTTATTTATTTCTTATATAATTTTATAAACAATAGGCAAAAATTTTATCCAAATTATTTACCACATTTAATGAATTCCTCTAATACAGGTTTTATATGCTGGGCCAGATTTTTACTGCAAATGAAAAACAACCACAGTGTGTTTACTTGAATATTTAAAAGTCTACTTCTTTTCATAAGAAAGAATGTCCTTATCCAGGGCTAAGTTCATTAAGTTGACATATATATCACATTTGGATGTAAGTAAACCACACTGTTAGTGATTTCCCTTTCTTTAATGAGAAAAAGAAATTGGAGGGGAAATGAAGCAGCACTTTGTGCTCTTCAAGGAGTTTGGATGATAGCTGGTGATAAGGTATGTGCTGGTGGATGTGAGAAGTGTTTTAGTGGATCTTGGTCACTGCGGTTTGTACATCCACTGTTCTACATGGAGTAATGATGTGGTCTGAATTTTGACAATAGCTGAGAACCATGAAGGGTGTCTAGTGGCTTGAGATATTTGGGAGTAGCATTATTAATAGTGTTATAACATGGATGCGTATTTTCCCATTTCCACCATTACTTTAATAGTCGAGACACTTCCCTGGTTTAAACTGATAGGTGGGTTATGAACACTGAGAATGGTAAAGAGGTAGGGAATTCTGAGATCTAAAGTCTAATCCTTTGAGGAAAAACATTCAAATGAGATCAAAATATTCAAATGAGATGAGCTTGATGATCAAGACTGAAAATGGTGCTGAGGCTTTTGGAATATGGTTTTTTGGATTTTTGTTTGTTTGTTTGTTTTCTAGCACTAAAAAGTCCAGGCATTTTATTTACAAAGAGAAATTGAATATATTCACCTGATGTTTCCTCTTCAGCTTGCTCTTGTCCCACTGCAGAGATGAGTTATGATCTTCAGAGAAGCTCTTGGAGTTTGCTGTGTGAAAAGCTGCTTTAAGGAACAAAGTTGTTTCTTTTGCCAATTGCAAAGACACCTAGATATTCTGTGCTTTAAAAAATGAAGTAGAGTGCCTCCCTGGTGGCGCAAGGGGTTAAGAAACAACCTATGAAGCTTCCACAGCCTCTGCAGCATGAGTTCGATCCCCCAGCCGGCCAGGGAGTAACCTATATGGTGCAGCAGACGTCTCCTGACTCACCCGCTGCTCCCCTCAGCAGTATATTTTGGTCAGTCTGCCTGTTCTGCTCCCCACTCTGTCTCTGGTGAATCCTCTCACCCTCCACACCTCTGGCCTGTACCCCAGCTCTTATATGCATAAATAAATAAATCTTAAAAAAAAAAATGAAGTAGGACTTCCCTAGTGGCCTACTAGGGGATAAGTCTCAGTGATACCACTGCCACAGCCTGGTTCAATTCCCAGCCAGGGAGCTAACACATGGCACAGCAGACCTCTCCTGTCTTGCCTGCTGCTCCCCTCAGCTGTGTTTTTCAGTGGATCCACCTGTTCTGTTCCCCACTCTGTCTCTGGTGAATCCTCTCACCCTTGCCCCTCTGGCCTATCCCCCAGTTCTTCTGCACAAAAATAAATATTTTTTTTAAATAAAAAGAAAAAATGAAGTAACTGCACAATTATGTTATTTGCCACTGCTCAACACTAGTCCTCTTCATTCCACAGCTTCACAGGAGTTCCCTGTCTGCATTTGCCATTGGGAGAAAGTACAGAGTTGCTAAAAATCTTTCCAGCCTAGGTTCAACTTCTTTTTACATCTTTATAAATTTTATGTATAAAAGTATGTAAATATGGTTTCAAAATAAAAATTAAAATCAAAGGGAAAAAGTCAATGCACTATCTTTATGTACAGCATGTATTTGAGTTATTCTAAACAAATTTTCTTTTCTATGGCATCACTTCTCCATGGTTAACAAATACATAAGGTTATTAGGTCTGAGATATAAGATTATTGGTATATAATACTTTTTATCTAAAGATTCCGAATCTTTCTTTTAAGGTATACTCAGATCAACGTTAAGGGCAAAATTAACTGCTGCATAGGCAAGGGAAATCCAGTGTTTTGGCTGGGGAAGCAGATTATGATCTGAAGTTGAAAATATCATCCTATTGATTGCCATAGTTGATCCATATGATACAGATGAATGGATCCTCTTTCTCCCTGAGCATTCATATGAGTACTGCTTAAAGATTCCTGATGTCTGCTGGACCAAAGAAAAGGACTGAAAACCCATTCCATCACTGAACAGTCAACTGAAATTGAAGTGCAATAGCTTTAGCTACGATATACCAGTAAGATCTGAACTCCTATTCTGCCAAAAAGCTAGAAACCCAGACCCATTATCTTGGTTGCTTCTGCCAATTCTGGTTTGCTTCTGGCATAGGAAGAGAGAACAATGTAAGTTTAGTGTGGTCAGGGAAAAGTTTGAGTTTATGCACGAAGACTCTTAGAAAAACAGAATTTTTCTGAACCTCCCTGGTGGCCTAGGGGTTATGTCTCAGTGCTATCACCACTAGGGCCTGAGTTCTATCCGTGGTCAGGCAGCTGACCCACACATGGCACAACAGAACTCTCCTGTCTCTCCCACAGCTCCCCTTTACAGTGTATTTCAGTCAATTTGCCTGTTCTGCTCCCCATTCTGCCTCTGGTGAATCCTCTTACCTCCCTCCCCCACACCTCTGGCCTACACCCCAGTTTCTTCCATACAAAAATAAAAAAAAAAAAAGTAAAATAAAATTTTGCTCTTTCACCCAATAGAAAACAAGTATTATTCTTCCCTATTCCATAAAATGGAGATAATGTAGGATATGGAGGTGGATTAACAGAACTGATCTATATATGCTCACAGCATGGAATATGGTTAATAGCAAGTGCTCAACAAATGGCAGCTACATCTGTCTAGTTTTGCTGTTAAAATCAATAAAACAGAGACAGGGCAATACCTCATCATTATGGAGAAAGCATTAGGAATAAAGAGACAAAGTATTTGTAATCCCATGCTCTAACTCTTGGAATTTTATTGACTTCAGAATTAAATGAGTTATTTGGTAGACTCTAGAATGAAAGAATTTGAGAGCTGAAAGACACGTTATTCATCCACTTATTTAATCTATTGAATACCTACAGCGTGTTAGAGCTGATGACAGACAAATGGATAAGACACAGTGCCCACACTCCAGGAGCTCACACTATTAAAAATATGACTTACAAATGATGATAAGACAAAGAATAAATGAGACATTTATTCAAATTATGTTATGAAAGTATTGGTGATGAAGATTTAATTCACTGAGTATGGGAAGTCCTGGTGGTCCTTGTGATGATGATGTGATTATAATCTTTATTTACAGCTGGTGTATATAACTTGTTCAAGCCCACTGAAGAGATGCAAAAACTGTATGCAATAGAAGGCTTTGTGAACTGAGGTCAAGAAAGGCCCTGCTCACTAGATGCATGCATTGGGGTAATAAACCCACTCTAATTATTGATCTCCATACAGCAGAGTTGAAACTAAGAACAAAATAATATCCAAAGATTATATATTACTTCAGGAAGTTCTGATGCTAAAAATTCTAATGTAATACATAAAACACAGAGACTGTAGACAATATAATAAATACTATCATGTGGCTCTGGATTATCAGTACATTCATAGTGATTGAAAGAAGAGAATATGAAATCCACCCCTGGAAAAGTCTGAAAATAAGGATGGATATCTTAGCCCTAGCTAAACAAGTTGTGGTTTAGCTGAAGCCTTAGACGATCACCAGGACAGGTAGCATAGGAACCACAGGTTGTGGAATGGGAGCAAGTTGGAATCCGTTACTAAGTACTGGGACAAGATAGTGACCCAATCACAATGCAATGAGTAGGAACTGTTACATATTGAGAATGTGTTTCTGCATAAGGTGATGTTGCTGTGTATTTAATCTCAACTCTGGATGCTGGTATGAATTGATCAACTGACTGACTTGTTGATTTACATCTCACTTCATTCTCAGTAAGGTTTAAAGTGACAGTCAGCTTGAGTTAACCCCACAAGCCACTTAAATACTGCCATTTATCCAGAGTTGCTATTTCAGTTCAGAACACATTCCCAATTTGTTGGATACCCAGCATAATGGCTGGTTGCAATTTTTATAGATGCCTTGTGCACAATGGAGGAATAGGCGATGAGAAATTCAGGTACTTGTTAATTTCCTGGGCATGTAAGATCAGGCACATCTAGAAGGTAATAAAGGGGTCTCACTTGAGAAATGACATGATTAAGAAACGTGCTTTAGGATCTGAGCTCTTGGAGACCTAGGTTAAGACTACACAGAGACCGGTAGACCTTCCTCTGAACTTGCAAGCCAGCAAGGACTGAGGCTGATTTCTGGTACTCACAAGTTCTTCACCATTTGCCAGCTGTAGTGTGTATCACAGGAAAGTGGGGCCAGTCCAACTCTGACGGTGGACAGATATTCTCCTGTACCTTAAGGACATGGGAGATCAGGAGATGGTTGAAATGTTTGTGAACTGTGCTTCTCACAGATTCACATACAAACATTTTTTTAATGCACAAAAACCACATAGTCACTCCAATAGTATTGATATAGGATATTATAATTATTAATATTTCTGCTATTTTGATGAGCTCCCACTTGGCAGAGGCACTATTCTGCATAAATTTCGAATTTTATATCCAATCTTTACGGCAACTCTGATATGGGTAAAATGTTTAGCTCCTTGTGTAGTAAATAAACCAAGGCTCAAAGAGATTGAATGTACTATTCCTAGAACATAGAGCTAGAATCAAAGAACTGGTTCTGTTCAAATCAACTTCTATTTGATGCCAAACCCAATGCTTTCTCTATCATCACCTGCAAATGCAGTTTTTCATCAGAATAGTCTTAGTTGTAAGTTTCCTAAGCTGGAAATCCTGCCCTACTCTGTACCTTAAACACTATTGGGCAGACTGTTGAGCAGCTGGTGTGGAAATGCAGGTAAACAATCTTGAACAATTTACTTCAAGAAGGATTCTAAAATATGGAGCAAATTCATATGTAAAAGCCCAGTATGTGCTTTACTTTTCAAAGGTGCCTATCATATACCTAGGGGAATATTTATTAATCCCTTTTTGGAAAATGTCCCCTTTTTGATAAAAAATGTTCAAAGGAAGGACAAAGCATTCTTACTTGAACTCGTTCAGAAAATAGCTCGGGGTGATGGACATCAGAGGCTCGGAAAAGTGTAGACAAAAGAAAAAAACAGAAACACAATTTTAGTATCGTTTTCTTGGCTTTTAAACATCTCTTTGTTGTGTGACCGGGCAACTTTACAGGCTCTTTATGAGAAGGAATGGAAAAGCTGAATTCCTGTTTTGTCGGGAAAGCTGAGTGTGGGGGTGATAATTTGTTATCGCTCATGGAGCCAGCGCAGATGAAGACCCCATTACACGCAGGCAGCTGTGAGGCATTTAATGGTTTCTGGTGTCAGAGGTGAAAAGCTTCAATTTAAGGAAACTTTTTGCTGCAAGGTTTGCCACAGGGAATTTGTGGTGCTTTTGATATGTATATTTTCAAGTATGTAAGATCCAGAAATGGAAAAGACCCAACTGGGAAAAATCTGTCAAATCATAAACAATCCAGGAAAGCTGGTGACCTGCATGGAATTCTCCTCTTTCCCCTCTTGCCCACTCCCCTCATAACATGCCTCAAATACACTTATTTGGAGCATGCAGAAAATATGTGCTCCGAACATGTGGAGTGCCTATGCTTTGATGGGACTTGACTGGACAGACTTCTGTGTCCTTTCTGTTATTCTGAAAATGGGTCTTCCCATTTCTTACCTCTATGCTGTTCAAGGGAAATGAGATTTGTTTTACAGTTTTTCTGAAGCGATAGATTATAATTACACTAGTGTAAAGATAGCACACACAAATTCTAGAGTCCTTGGGGATAAGAACTAATATATTTTTCTAAGAAACAAACAAACATGAGTGTTAATGTGGTTGGATTTTTGTGGTTGTTTCTCCTGCAACTAGGAGGTGACACTGGTTTTCTCCCACCTTCATACCCAAATCCATACCTGCATGCCTGACTCTCAAGTCTTTGTGGAAAAGTTAATATGAAGAAAATACTAAGTTGGCAATAATTTATCATCTCTGAGGTGAGTTTCTTTATCTTATAATTTGCTCTCTCTGAAGGTGAGGCTTTAGAAATATAGAGGCATATAAAAGAAATTTCATAAAGCCTTGTGAATTTTAAATAATCTCCTAATCCCCTGGAATCTTTCCAAGCTTCAAAATGTCAAGGTCAAAACCTTCACTCTTGGCCAGAATACTCTTACAAACCTTCCAGAAAAAAAGCCAAATTAAGATTAAAAAAACCTTCCGAATAAGTATACATTTAAACACAAACTGAGTTTCTGAATAAGAAAACAAACAATATTCCATAGTTGACTGTATTTGTAGATTTGTCAGATTGTTATTTTATCAATTAAGTGCTAAAGCATCTTATTCCAATGTTTTAAGTAACCATTGCAAAATGGAATTTCTATATACAACACATATATCTTTGCTAGATTTTAACAAGACATTTCCTCCAATTATTCTCAAATAGGAGGTTGAAAATAACACAAGAAACTTGGTTTTCCAGGTGTGCTGAAAAATAATACCAATAGTGTATCTCTTTTATCATAGGAATATACAACGTGATGGCTAAACTACAAAGGATTTTTGGTCACTGTTGTTATCAAGCATTGCAGATACTGTTATTAAGCTTGCAGTAGGCAGAGTTTGGTCAGAGAGTCATAAAGGCATATCTAGGTTTGTTGAGTCAACAAGTTGATTTATAATGGCTACTTCTTTCATGGTGTCCATAATCTCCAGTCTTATGAAAGGGTCACAACACATGGGGCTTCTCTTTATCGTGGGATGGTGACCACCACAGAGGCACCCTTTGTCTGAGGAGCTGAGATTCTAAGCCTGAGAAGGAGACACTCACACAGGGAGGGACACTAAGAAGAATTAAGCAGTGGTTTTACTTATGTGTTTGCTTGGGGATAAGTGTTTTCCTGAGACAGAGGAGGAGAGAAGCCAATTACTAATATCCTTGAGTGAAAAATCAGCTGAAGACACAGGAAGTGGCCATACTTTATTTCTCTTCCATCTACTGTACTGTGTTGTTTGGACATGTACTTTTTTAAAACCTAATAAAGGCCACCACTGGGCCAGACATTGGAATTCAGTGATGAGCATGGGAAGCACAGGCCTGGCCTTTTGGACCTCATGTGTGCTGGTCATTGCATTAAGTAAATAATCTCAAAATTCATAATTTTGATTTTTTTCATGTTAAGTGTTATGGTTTGGATAATAATATGATGAATGTATGACCTGGGTATTAATCTACATGGACCAGAGGTTTTCCTTAGGAATTTATGTTTATATTGAGATCTGATAAATGAGTCAAAGTTGGATAAAGAGGAGACTAAGGTTCAGCCCAGCAAACTTAAATGATATCTGTTGTGCTACATGACAAAGGAAGAAACTCCCAAGAGCTTCTCTTTGGCTTTATTTTCTAGGTTTCTTCCATACCCTCCATTCTAGCCACATTGGTCACCAAGCGCATGCATGTGCATGCACTTGTGTGTGTGTGTTAATTATTAAGACTTCATTTTTTTTTAAAGCCATGTAAGTTTATACTAACACTGAGGAAAAGGTACAGTGATTTGCCATATACCACATGTTAACACAAGAGCCCTTTAAAATAGACTACAATCTTTTCTTTTTGTGGGGGTAAGATGGGGGAGGGCTGACACACTTAAACATCCAATCAGTTAAAAACAGAGGCTAGATTAAATAATAAGGATCACATGGGTCTCCATGTGATTCTAGCATTTTAACTACATAATTATATGGCTTTCTTTCGTATCAGTTGCACTGAAAATAGGGCAGGAGTTGGTTTTAAAGAACTGGAAAAATTGTTTTCCTGAGCAGTAGAGGAAGCTCCCTCCTCTTCAAGCACCACAACCTGGTCTTGCATAGACAAAATGCCCAGAAGTGCCCACTCTACCAGAGCACGTGGGGTAGCAAATGGAACCAAGGGAGTTTTCTCTAGACAAGGATGAGTGAGAGCAGGAATTATTGGGGTTTACAGCTGATTTACACAGCACAGATGAAATAAAGTTTAGCAGAAAAATAACTGGGATTAGACACTGAAACACAGTGGGAACCTCATAAAACTTTGTTTGCTATCAGCAAGGACACACATGGTTGTGTGGCTTGTGCTCAGTGGTGAACCCACAATGCTTGAGAGACTTGGATTGTGAGCCCCTTGGGCCAGCTGGCCTGGTTCTCTTCCTGAACCCTTGATCCAGCTGGATGTCCTGCATGTACTTACTTCTGGTCACTAGAGCATCATGTGAAATGGATCAGCACAGCTTGAAAGCCTTGCTCTCTGTGACCCTGGAGGCACAATAGCCTCACATACGAAGGATACCTTTTCATAGGAATAAGTTAAATTATACTGAAAGTTAGGGTCTGAATAATGAAAATGAATAAAAACAGAATTGAAATAAATAAAAACAAGCTTCTATCCAGGTTCTACTACTTAATAACTTATGTGATATTAGGTAACTTAATCTCTTTGTGCTTCAACTTGTCATCTGTTAAATGTGGGCAATAATAGTACCACTTCATGGAGTTATCTTTAAGATTAAATGTCTTACCACTAAGGAGAAAATACAAAGTATAAAGACCATATGTATTATATATATTAAACATATTTTATAAATTATATATAAAATATATTAATATAGATAATATAATATATATATTATTTGAATAAATAATAAATTATTTAAATAAATATATATTTACACTGCATATGGAGATGTCCAACATCCATTCTTTTACTATGTGTTAAATTCCAAGTACAAATAACTGGATAAGAGAAGAGCGAGTCTTTGAGAAATTTAGTCCTACATATAAATAAAAAATAAATAAAAGAACTTAAACTGAAAAATCAATACATCAATATATTGGAGACTAATTATACCATTATACAATTGGCTAATAAGTTTAGATAAAATGAAATTTACCTAGAGAGAAAACACTATAAAACATGTGGAACAGATAATGCATGGTATGAAAATAAACATTATTAACTGACTCAGCTATAATGTTGAACATGAGAAGCAGAATCAAATATCTTCACACTGGATTTCAAAAATTGCTGGGTGGGGTTGTGACCATCCCAACAGAAGAATCCACAGTACTCACAGTTTTCTAATTTTCTTAATTCAAAACTGTGGGAAATAGCCCTTGGATTTCCAAACACATGTTCCTAATCATCACTCACTGTGAGAGAAAAAGAACACAAGTTTTAAAGACACCTTGGGATAGACTGACCTGGTTAAAAACCTACAATGGATTTTCATTTTTCTATACATCTGGGAATTTCCATTTATCCACGTGAGACACTACTCAATCTGGGTCAGTGTACTGTTATGATTAACTAGACATGGAGAAAGAAATACCGGCAACCCATCTCTTGCTGTATATCTTGGTGGCTGGTCATGTGAAGATACACTAAAGATCCACATGGAAAACCCACTGAAGTTTCCCCAATGGGCTCATTTGTTTGAGTAAGGTGGACATGCTGAGGAAGGCACCTAAACTCACATAGCTATTCTGAAGTCAGAAGACTATAAACAGAGATTAATAGGGTTGCTTCAATAGTATAAGAACCCGGACACTGTATCCAGAATGTATCACAGAAATGGGATACAATGAGAGGTATCAATGAAGTACCACCTCAGACCTACAGCCAGGGGACACACTAGTTGACAAAAATCTCCCCATCCCCTCTGCCTAGGACAGAGTTTAGAGGGGGTCCTTCTATGGGTGTTATGAGAAGGGTGGGTTGAAGTTCTCTCCCTTACTCTCTTACTGTTCTACTTATCCACGCATAGCTCATTCATTTCAGAGAAAAATAGGAAAAGAGAAAAATATTGGAAAGAAAGAAATTAAGAGAAAGGAATGTTGAAAAAGGAAGAAGTTGAAGAAAATGAACCAAAGCAGGTAATAGGAAGTTAGGAGTCACTACAATTTGTTGAGTATCCTCTCTTTGCCAAGCACTGTGCTGGACCCTTGACTCAGTTCATTATGTTAAAACCTTACAAAGGCACCATGATAAAGGCATTATTATCATTCTTTGGCAATGAGGAAACTGAGGGCCAGATAGGTGCA